TACAGGCATTTTAATTACTCCCTTTTCAGCTTCAAGGACCTACTCAGGCCTCTAGGCTGCCTTGATAATCAGTGCTAATAGCTGGGGGTACTTCAAGCCCCTAAGTGCGGCCCCCAGCAGCAAACAAGCATTGAACACTTAATGTCCAAACAGCCCCACGGAGCTGGGAGCCTGAGGCTGAGGGGCCCTCAGGGGATAGGTGGGAAGCCGTGGCCTGGAGGACCTTTGCTTTTGCAGTTTTCACTCTGTGTGAGGCAGGCCAGGACGGGCGGATCACGAGGTCAGGAGATCGAGACTTTCCTGGCTAACACGGTGAAACGCCGTCTCTACTAAAAATACAAAAAAAAAAAAAAGTTAGCCGGGTGTGGTGTTGGGCACCTGTAGTCCCAGCTACTTGGGAGGCTGAGGCAGGAGAATGGCGTGAACCCGGGAGGCAGAGCTTGCAGTGAGCCGAGATCTCGCCACTGCACTCCAGCCTGGACGACAGAGCAAGACTCCGTCTCAAAAAAAAAAAAGAAAAGAAAGTGAGGTAGAAGCTGTGAGTTTCCCCTCCCATATCCATTTCCCCTCCCTTCGTTAATAAGGGACAGATATGTGTTCAGCTGGAAGGCCACGTTGCCAGTCTCTCCCACACAGAGAGAATTCCAGGAATTGTAAGCAGAGTCAGCAGCCAATGGGACTTCTAAGAAAGTTCTTTAAAGGTGAGCATACTCGTTCCCGAGGCACAGCCCTGAGCCTTCCTCCTCCTTGCCTTCTAGAGTGGGGATGCAATGGCTGGCACTGCAACAGCAGGCTTGTGACCTAAGGCACATGCTCAAGTGGCAGCCAAACAGACAGAGAACCCCGACTCTCTGATGACCCTGGAGCTGCCGCTGTGTCTGCCCCACCCACTGCCCAACCCCCGATGTGAGAGAAGTGAAAACACAGCTCCACCCTGTTTAAGCTCCTGTCACTGTGGGTCTGTTGTGAGCAGCCAGACACCATTCCGAAGCCACACACACAGCTGCAAACTCTGAGGTACCGCCGCCACGTGGGTCACAGGGAGAGCCTCTTTAGGCACAGCCTTGTGTCCACAGCCCATTCCTCTGGGTGCTGACTCAGGACTCTTCAAAGCACGCCCAGTACCCCGATCTGCAGATAACCGAGGGGTGACCGTGCATGAGTGAGGCTGATCTCTCTTCTACTTCCTGCTCTTATTTCATGAATGTCAGTCTGGCCTCCGGGGCCAGACTGCAGGTCCCCAAGGATGATGACACAACAGATATCTTCCCTACCCTCAGGGTCAGGGCCTGTCCCACAGCTCCACGCACACCGCAGGCGCTCACATCAATTCTTGAGTGTCTGGGTTTGATTTTACTGTCAGCAGGGAGATGGCCCCCAGGTGTCTACCTGTGTGATGGCCCCTGTGGAAGCATTCAAATACTCTAGTGTGATGTAGCGTCATCACAGTGGAAAAGCGAAAACAGATGAAGCCACACTGCCCGCATGTGTGTGATGTCTCCTCGTTTTCAAAGCCTTTTCTCATGTAGTATCTCATCTTCTCTTCACAGTGCTCTTTGAGTCAGGACAGGTGTAAATGCCACAGTTTTACAAATGAAAACTAGAGGCGCAGAATGGCACAGGTGCTTCTTGAAGGCACATTAGTAGTAAACACGGAGTGAGGCCTGGATGGACTCCCGGGAAGGGCTCTTTCTGGGGCTCACGTATCCAGAAAGATGTGTGAATATATATGTGTGTGTGAAACACGTTGCGCTCACTGCGCCCCTACCACTGTCCCCCTGATGCATTCACGGTCCCTCTTGTCACTCTGCTTCCTCATGTGCCACCTTTTAGGTTGATCCCTTTCCATCCCATTCATTGCGTCTTCCCCTCCAGAGCCAGGCAAGCATTGCCCCCGTCTTCCCTTCCCTTCCCTTCCAGACTGGTGGTCTGACATCCTCCCCTAGCCATGTCCTGTCACAGACAGGAACGTGGATTTGGGACAGAATTCATACCCTCGCTTCATTCTGTTCAGGGGCGATGTGGCTGGCTGGGAGGTCCTTGAATAGCGCTGAGGGATAAGTGCAGTTACACCGAGGCATCGAGGCTGTGCAGCCAGCGGAGCCAGCCCTGTCCACTAGACCATGGGCCACCCCCTCCTGCTGCCTGCCACATGCCTGATCCCAGCCACATCCAAGGGACAGTGTCCTAATGCTCTGGTAAGTGTTATCATCCCCAATTTATCCTGGGACCCAAGCATGTCCCTCGAACAAAGAAGGGTCAGGTGGGTGGTGCCCGGCGTCTCCGAGGCTGTCACAAGCCTGAGATGTTTGTCCTAGTGGCCGAGGAATAAGTTTAGGGTTGGAGCCAGGGTCTGGAAGAAAAGTATGACATGACCTGCCCAATCCCAGCAAGCTCTGGGGAGATTCCCCAGGGGCATTTACCATCCCACTGAGCACATGCGAGTCCAAAACATCCAGAGAGGGAGGGCTGAGTCCTTCAAAGGGAGGACAGGCCCACCTGTGTTTCCACACTGGGCTTAGAAGGGAAGAAGGTAGGGCCATCCACTTCCATACGAGGGTGCCCCTGGGAGTGCCGAGGCGGAAGACATGAAGAAGACACGAAGACAGGAATTACGACTGTGTCTGCTGGGTGCCCCGAGACCCATGAGGGGCTCTGTATGTCAACCCTCAATGTCAAACACCCAAGCAAGGGAAGCATGGTGCTGCTACAGAAGCCAAGCTGCAGATGGGAAACTGCACGTACAGCATTAGTTACAAATGTTCGCTCATGAATAGTGTTTTTTTTTTTTTTTTTTTAAAGTATAGATGATGAACCAGATTTGGACTAATCAAAGTCAGGTTCTCATCACATACGGGAAAAAGTTCATTCCCAGAGCAAAGCATAATTTAGTAATTTCCCTATCCAGAAGACTACTTGGACATGGAGGTGAGAACCCACCTACTGTGTCACCATCTTAGGGGGAACCCTGCACCCCAGCCCACCAGTCTAAGCACAATCCCTCATCAACCAGGCTGAAATCTCCTCTCAAGTCCTAGTGACATCAGAGGCAGCCGATGTCACTCAGAAAACAGCGGCCTTGTCTCGGAAGCCTGGATGTCAGTGCTGGTTCTGCCTTTGTGGCCTGTGTGATTTCAGACCAACTAAAATCCAACTAGCTAATGTTCAGCTTCCTATGAACAGGTGCCTGAAAATGAAACTTGCCCTGCTCTTTCCTATAAACTGTCCACACTTTGAGGAAGGGTCTGGGCTCTGTTCCTGTTTTTATACCCAGCCCTCTTGTACAGGAGGTACTGGGAGGTGCTTATGGGGCCAAATTGCATTCATTTACAGGGTTGCTGGAAGGCACGATCCCAGAATCCATGCGAGCTGTTTTGAAAACGATGGCGTCCCACCCAAACTCACATCCCTATCTCTTCTCATTGCCAGCCTTCGGAGCTGGGGGACACTCATCACTTCATTTTTTTGCCTCTGGAGTCCCTGCTGCCATTCTCCGCTCCCTGCCTCCCACCTTCCCTGCACACCCACGCACAGATTCCGCCTCTTAATGTAGCATTTTGCTCATGTCACTCACAGATCTTAAGCCTTTCATGGTTCCCCAATGCCAACTGAATAAAAGCCAGAGTCCAAAGCCTCAAAGCCCTTCTCAATTAGGTGGAGATCCACTTCCCTCTGCCCCATGCAGAACTCAAATGCACCAGAAATAAAATGAAACAGTCACGGTTAATAGTAACAAGGGATTACTAATAGCGATAGGAGTCTTTTTAAGTGTTTCTACATTTATTGTTATTTGATTAAATAGACTAAAGCGAACATTAACTGTCCAGGTTTTCAGCCATTTTCCTTCTCGAATGAGTAATCAAGATTTACTTGCACATGAACAGGTCCTTCCTGGCTGTCCTGCATTTTAAATATTTCTGCTAGTCACTGTGCAGGCAGAACTGACTGCACTTAATTTATAAAGGAGGATTTATGGACTTACAGATGACAACAGACAGCCAATCAATACGGGATGATAATAACAGCATGTAATATCAAGGAACATTAGGTCTCAGGCATGATTTGGGGAGAGAAGTGGTCAGTCAGAAACCTTATCATTTGAAAAAGGTCAAGGTCTGGTAGCAATAAAAATGCCTAAGCAAATAAAATCACACCTGTGAATCAGGCGAGGGCATAAATCGCAGAGTGAAAAAGGGTTTTAGACTCGGTAGAAAAATGACTTCCCTGGGCAAGGATTTGGGTTGCTGTGGGACAAATGAGGCTGCGTTGGGAAAGGGTCTATTTATTCCTGCTAAGAGCAGTAACAGTGAAATGCAGATGCGGAGACCTCCCAACACTCGCTCCTCCTGGGGCTGAGATCTGAATCCTTCAGAAAACAGCGGAGGAACCAGATGCTGTGGAAGGCCTGCCATGCCGCGCCCGGGCCTCACCACGTGTATTTAAGAACCACTGGCTTTATGACGTTTATGTCTGGTCATTTTTTCCAGGGGTGGGGGCGGTTTTTATTGACCTAGTAGATTGTTTGCTTGTGTAACTGGAAAGGGCAACCAAAGAAAGTAGCAAGTTGCAAATCCGATGACCAATAATCATGTTCCATTGTTAAAAATAAAACTGTGAATCATCACTGTGCTCTTTGAAAAATGCTCAGTGTCACACAGAACTCCACAGCCAACTTTCCTTCGAAAATCTACAATCAATCCATTTAGAACAATCTAGTTCCACAGGCTTTTCAAGACTAGATGCACCCACTAAAGGGCATGTACAGAAACTCCTGAGTCCCTGAAAAAGCAGTTGGAATAGCATTTGTCTCCCGTCTACGGTTCTGCTTTCGTTGAGGAATAGTTAGAGAGATCCCATTAAATATGTGATGAATTTTCTTGTAAACGCTCCCTAGGGGACTGAATTCTCTGTTTTTCTTTCTAACATACTCCAATCAAACTTTGCAAATCCCATTCCCCAGCAAAGATCCCGCCACCTCGTGGTTTTGGAGACAAGCTTACCTCCCTGCAAGGTGTATTCGGTCACGGCTCTGCTGAAGACGCCCAGGCCGGCCCCGTTGTACGCTGCCACCTGTATCTCATACTGTGTCCAGATGATCAGGTCTGTCACCAGGCAGTAGTTCACCTCCGGGCTGGTGATGTTCCGCTGCTGGTACTCTCCGGGAAGGCCAGCCAGGCGGTACCTGTGCCACAAAGGAAGCCCATCACCATCAGGAAATAACCGAACCCGGGAAGTGTGTTTACCCACGGTTATTCCTCAGGGTGACGGGGAAATAGAAGTAAATAAACAAGAGCAGAGCTGAGAGGTCAGCCCGAAACAATACTATTTCCTAACTCAATGATTTTGAAAAGTGTGCTCTAATCTCACAGTAATTATAAGCTCAAGGCAAAATGGAACTGACATTTCAACTACATTACGGTTAAGAAAAAATTACAGCTTTTTACATGTAACTCGTCTAGGGACTACAGTGACTTAGGACCAAAAATTCCAGACATGATTTCCGTCAGGGAGTTGCTGTAAATCAGTTTGAGAAACACTTTCCTCTTGTGAGTCTGAACGTGGGGAGACTTCCAGAACCGGGCGGCACACGGTCTCATGGTCTCCAGGGACAGAGCTTCAGAACCGGGCGGCACACAGTCTCGTGGTCTCCAGGGACAGAGCTCCAGAACCGGGTGGCACACGGTCTCGTGGTCTCCAGGGACAGAGCTCCAGAACCGGGTGGCACACGGTCTCGTGGTCTCCAGGGACAGAGCTCCAGAACCGGGTGGCACACGGTCTCGTGGTCTCCAGGGATAGAGTTCCAGAAGCGGTAGCACACGGTCTCGTGGTCTCCAGGGACAGAGCTCCAGAAGTGGCAGCACACGGTCTCGTGGTCTCCAGGGACAGAGCTCCGGAACCAGGTGGCACACGGTCTCATGGTCTCTAGGGACAGAGCTCCGGAACTGGGTGGCACACGGTCTCGTGGTCTCCAGGGACAGAGTTCCAGAAGCGGCAGCACACCATCTTGTGGTCTCCAGGGACAGAGCTCCGGAACCGGGTGGCACACAGTCTCGTGGTCTCCAGGGACAGAGCTCCGGAACCGGGTGGCACATGGTCTCGTGGTCTCCAGGGACAGCGCTCCGGAAGTGGGCGGCACACAGTCTCGTGGTCTCCAGGGACAGAGTTCCAGAAGCGGCAGCACACAGTCTCGTGGTCTCCAGGGACAGAGCTCCAGAACCGGGTGGCACATGGTCTCGTGGTCTCCAGGGACAGAGCTCCAGAACACACAGTCTCGTGGTCTCCAGGGACAGAGTTCCAGAAGCGGCAGCACACAGTCTCGTGGTCTCCAGGGACAGAGCTCCAGAACCGGGTGGCACATGGTCTCGTGGTCTCCAGGGACAGAGCTCCAGAACTGGGTGGCACATGGTCTCGTGGTCTCCAGGGACAGAGCTCCAGAAGCTGGCGGCACACGGTCTCATGGTCTCCAGGGACAGAGCTCCGGAAGCGGGCGGCCCACGGTCTGGTGGTCTCCAGGGACAGAGCTCCGGAACCGGGCGGCACACGGTCTTGTGGTCTCCAGGGACAGAGCTCCGGAAGCGGGCGGCACACGGTCTTGTGGTCTCCAGGAACAGAGCTCCGGAAGCGGGCGGCACACTGTCTCGTGGTCTCCAGGGACAGAGCTCCGGAAGCGGGCGGCACACGGTCTCGTGGTCTCCAGGGACAGAGCTCCGGAAGCGGGCGGCACAGGGTCTCGTGGTCTCCAGGGACAGAGCTCTGGAACCGGGTGGCACACGGTCTCGTGGTCTCCAGGGACAGAGCTCCAGAAGCTGGCGGCACACGGTCTCATGGTCTCCAAGGACGGAGCTCCAGAAGCGGGCGGCACAGGATCTCGTGGTATCCAGGGACAGAGCTCCAGAAGCGGGGGGCACAGGGTCTCGTGGTCTCCAGGGACAGAGTTCCAGTTAGGAATTGCGGGTTTGTCCAAGTGCATCCCAGAATTGGAATAAGCGGCTTTGAAAAGGTGTTGAAACTTCTAAAATACCAGTGCAGTGCTGAGTATGACAAACTGCTTTGTAGAAGACCTCTGTGGGCGCTTGGGTACTACGTTCTGAGTGTACGAAAGGCGGAAATTTCAAGTAGTGCTTATAAAAGAGAAGACAACATACACAACTCAGGACTTAGGATGTATAAATTAGGAAACTGTTGTGTGTACTGTGAGAAGATCTGTCATCGTATTATTTTGATTGCAAACGTTTCTCCATGATTTGGTCTATAGAAGTTAATGCACTGAACTGACTCAGGTAATTTACTGAGCCTTCCTGGATCAGCACCCCTGGGTAAACCCAGTAGGAGTGACTGCCCTGTCATCCTGCAGCTTCCAAGAGCCTCTGATTTCTATCCCAGAAGTGGCTTCTGCCTCACAGTCCCACACTGGAGTGGCAGCAAATCTGCTGGCTTTTCACGGTGTGTGGAAATCTTCAGGCTCCTGCAGGATGCTGATCTCTGAGCTCGGTGGCTCTGCAGTTTCCATGTCCATTACCTATGTGGTCCCATGGGGGCAGGGCACCTGAGCACGAAGGGGAAGGAGCCGAGACGACACGCGTGGACCGGAACATCAGTAAGGCTGCTGACATCGAAGCAGAGAAGAAACCCAGAAATTCAGGCCCTAAAATGTAAAACAACTTTCCCAAGAGAAGGACGGCTTGAAAATCAGGAGTTTCAGAGAGCATCCTCTCGTTCCCTCTTGCTGCCGACCATGTGCACTTGGTGGGGCCTGTTTGATAGAAAACAAATGATCAAAAGCAGATGTCCCTTGAATAGCAAGAAGGTACCGGGCTGCCTTCTGTCTCTTGCCTGAAAGGAGCAAGTGGCCCCTGGGCTTGCCTGGTGGGAGACTCAGGGACGGAACGGCCTTATTCCGTGATGGGCAAAAATGAAAGTCAAGTTATCAAACCACGTTTTGGCTTCATAATGTGTCCACCTCTGACTCCTTTACTGAATGACCTGCACCAAGCAAGTACACGTGCAATTCCCAGGGGGTGTTCAGGTCGCCGACATAGCATGATGGTCCTCAAGGCAGTGGGCCAGTGGGAGAAAGGCTTGGCATGGATTCACCTGTGTGACAGGCATTTCCACTTACATTCACCATCTACAAAAGATGAACTCTTGAAACAAATGGGACTGAGACAGCCATTTGGGAAAAGGTAGAAACTGGCTCCGTGCCCACACCATGCACCTGAGTAGCCTGGGCATGGTGGCCCCAAGCACCGTCTGTAATCACTACGACAGAACGAGGATGGCCCTTGAGAAGGATTCCTTGTGTGGATCCAACGCTACACAATGCACAGTCCAGGGAAGAGCCGAGGAACCAGCATCGGAAGACTTTGCTCAACAACCACTCAGGAGCTGGGTGGTGTTGGGAAAATTCCAAACTTCTCCGAGCCTTGGTTTCCACCTCTTTAAGGTGGGAATGACGGTAGCATTTCCATGCTTGTTGCAAGAGTCAAAGGAGACACTGAATGTACAAGAGATGTGAAGGTGTAAAGCACTCCCTAAATATATATATATATTTTTAAACACGGCTCTTCTACTGAGAAGTATGGAAGAGATAACTGTGAGTTATAAGAAACTACACCTGCATGAGCCACCCATCTTCTCCGGGACCACTCTTTATACCACTGTGAAAAACAAACTGCAGAATTCACATCTTCCGAAGAGCCTGTGCTCCCCTCCGGAACAGGCATGTTGGCCCGTTCTGACCAGTGACTCCGAGTGCTTTTGTAATAGTCACAGGATGTGTAAGAAGGTCACAATTAATAACAGAAGTGCAGGGCAGCCTCCTCTTGCTGGTAGGATATGTTGCCCAGGAGACCATCTCAGCCAGAACAAGATGATTTTTTATACAGAAATAAACAGGAGAATGTTTTTAAAGGACATAACCCCTATGCTCCTCTCAAAGAAACACCCTGCCTATTATTATAAATATTTTATTACTGCACACGTATCCTAACTACTTCTTATGGCTGGAGCCACGGAAGTGATTTATTTCTCTTTGCTTTCCTTGCATTGTGCCTCGGATCTGACACAGAGGCTGTGCCCTGGAGGATACACACTCACAAACAGAGAGCTGATGTGCAGACTGGAGGATTATGCGGGAATGTTTCTAAGCTAATTCATTTTGGCATGGCTCTTTAATTTCTGAAAACTTTGATATTCACAGGCCTAGGGTAGTGCACACCCTCATCTTAGGGCTTTTTGGATTTAAGCTCCTGCAAATACAGAAGATGCCCTCATCCCTAGCACCCAACTCTACTGACCCCATCACAGAAAATCCTTTTAACGGTAGTAATCCCGCAAAATAGAGAAATGTGCAGTCCCTGACGTGGCCTCGTAACATCAGAGAGATTTTATTATTAAACTCTGTGCTCTGGGACTGGTTGTGTGGGATGACTTTTAAAGTCATTACTTGACAGCTTCAGCCTAAGGAAACTCTTTCTGCACATGCTGAAGAAAGGCAGAGACAGAGGGATGACAAGCCTGTGCAGCTGGGTAGAGAGGGCAGCCAATTATTCTCATTAGTGGATGGGTGCAGAACGAGAGGGAATGGCTAAGGCAGGGGCAAGAGCAGCAGTGCCACAGGAGCCCTTGGCCTCAGGCAGGCGGCGGGGACACGGGGCTATTTTCTGGAGCGGAAGAGGTCAGGCAATTAGGAACTGTCCCAGGGGATCAACAGGAACTAGAGCCCACGGCCCTTACCCCGAGGGGACAGAACTGCAAGTTCCTCTTCCCCCTTCTTTGAAATGAGGAAGGACAGTTGGAGCCTCGAGACAAAAGGAACCTTGCTATTGATTGGAGCTCTTTGTGTACCCCTGGGGATAGCCCATTTAAACCACTTCAGGTGGGTCACCGTCTGGCTTACATTTAGAAGAGAATCTCAACACTGGAGGAAAAACTTGAAAACAGCGGCAAATTGATTTTGACAGGCAAATATTCCAGGCATATAGAAAAACACATATTAAATGATGAATGGATGACTACACACACACACACACACACACACACACACACACACACACATATATATGGAAGGTGTTGCCCTTCATACACAAGGATAATGAAGCTGAAGACGCAGCATTTCCCAATTTCTTACATTTATCTAAGAAATTAAATCTGTCTGCTAATGACCTTTGTTAGCCACTATTTACTGATCAGATACTTGGAACGAGCCCAGGAAGGGAATAAGGGGATACCTACTGTTCTTGCCCCAGTAACACTGGCAAAATTAACAAATCTGTCCACAGTGCTGCAATCTATTAGAAGAGATTTAATAATTATCATGCAATTCTGCTTTACTATTACTTGTGTCAACAGACCACTGCGAATATCACGTTCAGGGCAATTTTAAAATTAGCAGTTTTGGCAAAGGAGGTTTCTTTTCTCAAACACAGACAAGTTCAGATACAGTGTTCCCAACAATTCTAGAAGCCTAACTGTCCTTTATAAAGCAAAGATAGCACCCTGGCTGCCCTTCAGCCACATCTGGCCCGCAGAAGTGTGCGTTAGCCCTGCCCTTTGTTTCCAAATATATTGATTTCATTCCCAACATCTAAAAGTTGTGAGGTTTCAGGTACAAAGGTAGATTTTTTAATTTCTGGAAATACTAGAAGATCTGGCATTAGTGAACAACACACCAGCATGGTGACAACTGGCTAATAATTACATCAAATTAATTATTCTTAATTTAAAATTACTGTATTGAACAACACATGCCCTTGGTTGAAAACTTAAATGGAATCAAAAGACTCACAATGAGGCCAGATGCGGTGGTTCATGCCTGTAATCCCAGCACTTTGGGAGGCTGAGAGGGACAGATCACCTCAGGTCAGGAGTTTGAGACCAGCTTGGTCAACATGGTGAAACGCTGTCTCTACTAAAAATACAAAAATTAGCCAGGTGTGGTGGCACATGCCTGTAATCCCAGCTATTTGGGAGGCTGAGGCAGGAGAATCGCTTGAACCCAGGAGGCGGAGGTTTCAGTGAGCCAAGATCGTGCCACTGCACTCCAGCCTGGGCGACAAGAGTGAAACTCCATCTCAAAAAAAAAGCACAATGAATATTATACCTTGCTTCCAACCCCTAATACTCCCTCCATTCTCCTGCCAAAATGCTACCCCGACACCAGTTTTGTGTGTGCCATTTATGGTCGAATATGCACAGAACGTCTCTGTAAGGCTGCTCACGCTGGTCTGTGCATTCCAGTTTGCCACAGTCTCCACCACTCCCTAACATCTCACACCTGGTCTGCCTCCTTTGGTTCCTGTTTGGCTCTTACAGACATTAGAGTTTGCAACCCTCCGTGAAATCGACTCTCAGCTCTAATGGCAGCCTAAAGATGGTCAATCACGGGGTACTTGCCTGAGGATGTAACCACGCAACACCCCGTTGTGCTCTGTTTCTGGGGGCGGCTGCCACTGGACCATAATGGATTGATTGGTCCGCCCACTGGCCACTATATTTTTCGGGGGAGCACTGGGTGGTTCTTCAGGTAGCATCAACCTAAACATAAAAGACGGGTAGGAACAAGAGAGATGAGTACTAGAAACAAGGGGGGCCCCTTTGCATTTCATCTATCTTGCTGAATCTTGAGCCTGACTACTCACGAAAATCGGGTTTCAAGAAAAGCAAAACTCACAGCCCACGAAACCGAAAGGACATGAGAAACAGTTACCACAAATCAACATAACAGAAAATCAGTTAACCAAGCAGCGAGGAAGGCGCAGAGGTGACTTTGTTCTGTGTGAGTAGCGCCAGCACCTCAGCCTTTTAGAAAGACTGTAAACCTGAACGTATCCGCTCCTGGGCCCGCCGTCTCAGACTCCTCCCAAGCTGTTTTCTTCGGCTCTTTCAATATTTCTCATATCAAACTCCCACGTTTTGGGGGAAAAAAGGATTTAGAGCTCAGCTGTTCTACAAGTCAAGCCCACTGAAAGCTCAGGTTGGTTGGGGAGGGCGTGCTGAAATGTGATGAAGCCATTTTCCCATGTCACCTCCGAATGAGATTTTTTCAGAGGCGGCCCTCACAGGGATGGGAGAGCATGAAGACTGCTCTGGAACGCAAAGCCTCGGCAGAGACAGAGGAGTCTTTGGCTTCCCTTACAGCACGCTGGGTGTTGACTTGTTAAGACTGTGGCACCAGCTTCCACCCGGCAGTGGGGTGGGCAAAGGACATGGAAAACATGTAAGCTCTTAATTTCCTGTGTACAGAGGGCTGTGCTGTCAGGAGCGATTTATGTAGGCACAGCCAGGTCGCCACAGGAAAAATCCAAGAAACCTGCCTCACAGCAACGAAGGAAGGCCCAGCTAAGCCTGTGTGGGACGGTGTTTCCCTCTTTGTGACAGGCTTTTCTGCTCATGTTTTGGGCGGTCTCCCTGAGGGAGGCCAGTGGGTTGCTGTGATCAATTCCACCACCTATTGTGATGCTTCTGTTTGGCATTCAGGCCCCTGGCTGTTCCGCGCTCCCACCTGGGGCGGGATTCACGCACCTGCTTGTCTCAGCGCTGTACTGGCCCCTGCCCACTTCGTTCACTGCGCACACCCGGAATTGATAGGTGCGAGCCGGAGTCAGGCCGCTCACGGTGACGCCTGTCATCTCGGGGCCAACATTTGACAGATGCACTTTCCACGGAGAGTCTGAAAGAATGAAGAAAACGAATTCAAGCCCACAGAAGTGCATGTCTGAATAATAAGAGGTGAATGCCAAGGCCTTCTCAGGGAACATCTCATTTGCTTAGCAGGACAGCACTAGGAGAAGGAATACTTATCCCATTGAGCAGGTGTGGAAACGGAGGCTGCAGTCATGTGGCTAGTAATCTGCAAGCCAGAAAGGAAACTCCCCGACCCCATGCCGCCATCAATGAGCAAAGGGATTATTTTGTGCAACCTGCATGTGGCGGTTTAAAAGGAACCAAAACGTCCCTAATTCCTGTGTTCGGTATGTAAGGGGAGAAAGTTCTCTGTCGGCTCACGTGGTTAGACAGATTGCAGATTTGTCTCCCAGAAAAGGATGCTGCACATGTCACTGAATGATAAATAAAAACTATATTCATTAACATTTTAATAAAAGAGGAAATGAGCACGATAAAGACAGATGGGCTGTGTATTTCGCAGCCCATCTGCGTGGCAGACCCATTACGCCACCACACCCCTGAGTGGCTTTGGCTGGAGAGAGACGTAATGAAATTCACAGCGAGTTTAGAATATCTTCCCACCCAGCTTTCCAGCAGGTGTGCAAGAGCGACTCTGCCAGCCAAATGCGCTCTCGCCGGCAAGGCTTCTGAAGGTTCTGCTGGAGATCCTACACCCTTGTGTGTGTGTATTTCTTTTTTTTTGCAGAGTTTAAACATGCTTTTCAGCCCAATCATTTTGTAGAGTGATGACTTGGAATGAACAAGGTCTTGGCAGTGACTTCCAGCATCCGCTGTCGGTTTCCATTCTGAATTGCGATGATGCCTGAACTGAATTTTCAAGTTATTAGTGAAGTAAGACCTGGGTGGGGGAAATTCTTTTGGAAATCGAGCTGTCTCGCTGACCTGAAGTGGTGCTAAGGTCCCTCTCACCCCATTAGAGATGGTCAGAAAGAGGTGGCGCACGCCTTCTACCACGGTGCTGGGCTAGGCGGAGCCTGCAGACGGTACCAGCTGCATGTCAACATTCACACATAAAATCCCAGCCGCTACTCCAAAAACCAACAGCCCGAACCGCGGGGATTCGCGAGTCCGCGCCTGTGAGCTCATCGGAAATGCACTCCAGCTCCTTACCTATCACAAGCAGTGGCCATAAATTGCTCCAAAATGAAAATGAGACTCTCAAAGGCAACTTCAGTGGCCTCACACAGAGATGTCTATCACTAATTCAGAATCTGCTCACTGGATTCCTTAACACAAAGTTAAGCTGCTCTGAAGCATGAAGCCAGTTGGCTAGGAAGATGGAATCTTTTTAATTATTTCAAATAAAGCTGCTTCCAAAAATGGGTTTCTGGGAATGCAGTCTTCGCCACCAGCTGGGCATTTCAGTGTTCCTGGCTTTTGATTTCCAGTGACATGGATAATGGGCAGCTGATGAGGATCCCCCTCTCTGTGTGTCTTCTTTAAAAACAAAATGTGTGCATTCCCAGTTACCTATGGAAGAACTCACAGCAACTTCTCTTTTCACTCTGGGAGCCTGAAATCCTTCCACTGGCACCACGCAGCTCGTGGTGATCTGGTTTGCCAAGCAGTCTCCCTTACGGAAAACAGCCGTTTGTCAATGTGGAAGACGAAAGGTCTTTCCCAGTATCAGGGCAACCGGACTCGGTTGGTAGAAGGCAGGGCCCCTTCGTGCCAAGTCCAGCTTCCATGGAAATATCGTTCTCATTCTGAAGAGAACTGGTATGTAGAAGAAAGAAGCATGGAGACCACAGCTGACGATGAGCTCTCTCACTTAAGGGTGTTTAGTTTTGTTTGAACTTCTGTGAAAACAGTGGACAAATCAGAACTGCAATGATATTGCATCTAACACCCACTAGGGTGGCTATTACTAGAAACACACACACACACAAACAGAATATAACAGGTGTTGGGAAGGATGTGGAGAAATTCCACTCCATTGCACTGTTGTTGCAAATGTAAAATGGGGTAGCTGCTACAGAAAACAGTATGGTGGCTCCTCAAAAAAATTCAGACAGAATTACCATATAAACCAGCAATTCTGCTTCGGAGTATACACCCAAAGGAACTGAAAGGAGGGGTTCGAAGAGATATGTGCACACCTGTGTTCACAGTAGCCTTATTCACAGTAGCCAAAAGGGGTAGAAGCAACTTGTAGGATATGATGAGGTTTCTCTTCAAAGAACTCGATCAATCTTTTATTCTTTAATTTATAGTACCCTCCACCCCGCTGCCTTTTCCTTTTTTCCTTTTTGCCTTTGTTGGATGCCACAGTACCAGGCGTTATCAGTACCAGCTCACATTCCTTTCCTTATTTGCAAAGAGGACTCACTTTCTAGCTCATTACAGACCCCCCTTCCCCTTTCCTCTCCGCTTTCTTTCACGTGCCCACCTTATCTAAAAAAAGCAAAAGTTTAGCCAACCGGGATTAGTTTAGATTGTACAACACGGCCCCAGCCAACGGGGAAAGGGTACAGGGGCAGGACTTGCGTCAGGAATAAAGGGTCTCGTGCCTTTTGTTCAGGTGTGCTCTCATGGCGACCGGCCAAGGAGGCACCCCTCTGCGCAGAAGTAAAATTGCTTTGCTAAGAATCCTTCGTTTGAGTGTTCAATTTCCTTAGGATTTTGAGTATTATTGCTAGCAAACCCAACTGCCCACCGATGGATGAATGGGTAAACAGAATGTGATCTGCCCATACAATGGCTACTATTCAGCTTTTTAAATGAAGGAAATTAGGACAAATGCCAGAACATGGATGAAACTTGAGCACAGTATATGATGTGAAATAAGTCACAAAAAGACGAATGCTATATGATTCCACTTGTATGAGACATCTAGAACAGTTAAATTCACAGAGACAGAAAGTAGGAGGAGTAGGGTAAGGAGAAATGGGGAGTTATTGTTTAGTGAAGCAGAAGTTTTGCAACATGAAAAGAGCTCTAGAGAAGGATGGTGGTGACGGTGGTAAAACAGTGTGAACGTGTTTAATGCCACTGAACTGTGCACTTAGAAACGGTGAACATGGTGTTTTCTTAATGTGTCTTTATGCCTGTAATCCCTGCACTCTGGGAGGCCGAGGCGGGTGGATCACGAGGTCAGGAGTTCAAGACCAGCCTGGCCAAGATGGTGAAACCCTATCTCTACTAAAAATACAAAAATGTACCTGGGCCTGGTGGCGGGTGCCTGTAATCCCAGCTACTCGGGAGGCTGGGGCAGAGAACTGCTTAAACCCGAGAGGCAGAAGTTGCAGTGAGCTAGGATCGCGCCACTGCACTCCAGCCTGGGCGACGAGAGCGAAACTCCATCTCAATCAATCAATCAATCAATCAATACAAATGATGAAAAGATGGGGGATAACATATAATCCCCAAGACGCTCCCGAGTATGAAATAACATACATTGAAAGCATCTAGCTGTAAGCTTGGCCCAGGGTACCTCCCTCTCCCTAGATCCAAGCTCCACCCTCCCTACCCAGCTCTGCCCTAAGGGATCCTGCCCTTAGGCTTCCCATAGACAAGGGGAGCAAATTTAAGGCTCTTCCTCCCCGCTCACTGGGAGGCTGCCTGGGGACACCTGGGTCCTTCATCCAAAGGGTCCTCCTCTTTTCCAAGCGGTGGCCCTACACAATCTCTCCTTCTGGGGTTCTGCAACTGCCTTAGACTCTTTGACCTACGAGTGAAACCCGCTCTGAGGCTACCAGCCCCAGGGAACAGCTCCCCTCTACTCACACCTCTGCAAGCATTCCCCTTCTACCACTTCCTCCTTGATTGCTCTCACTCAGGAACGCCATCTTTTCCCGCAGGAAGCTTGACTGACACTGGACTCAGTAAAGGTCTTCTTCCACCCCTTTCTTCCTTCAGACATCACAGTGTCTAGAAGTGAGCCATTCACCTGTTCTGTCAGGCACAGTGAACAAACGTCGTTTCAGACAGAGACAGTCAAGAGGACAACTGTTGTAACCAGGTGACTGAGGCGATTAATCAGACCGAGGGAGAGGCAGAGCAAGGCTGGAGACGCCGTCTTCCTGCCCTCGGCCCCATCCCACCAGCCTGACCCTGCCTGATCCTGGCTGTTTTTTCACTCAAGTGTAAACAGCTCCTGAAAGTCCAGAGCCTCAGCCTCAGGGTCCAGAGTCTGCTGCCCGGTTTGATTTGACAACAGGGCCTATTAATTTCCTCTGAACCTCTGGGCTCTGCTCAGTCCTGCTGCAACTACAGGATTCCTTATTTATTCTTTTTCCGCTTCCACTAGAAGATAAAAGGTTTGGCAGGAAGAGAGATTAAAGTGAAAACTAATACAAATGAACCCGATCCATCTCTGGGCACCCTGATTTGTAAAAAAAAAAAAAAAAAAAAAAAATAGGTTTGGGAAGGATGTGCTCATTCACCGGCTCTGGAATTGCAAGCTTGCTGAGAACTGTTAAAATTTAAATAGCAAGTCTGTTCCTGACAATCAATAAGGAACATCCCTTTAAAAGGGTCCTCCCGCAACCAGTCCTCATAGAAGAGGGCCACGGGATGCTTCTCTTGGAGGCTGGGGGGCAAAAGAGCATTTTGATAAAGGAAACCATCCCAAAAAAGTTTAATACTTTTTTTCTTCCCCTTCAGGGACTCTCTGATCTAGAAGACTGAGGGATTTTACACGTCCCCGGCCAGGCTCCATTCTACAGAAGGCATCAGTACACTTTGGTTTTCTCAGTGGTAAGGCCCAGAATCGTGAGGAAAGAATCACGACTCCACTTTAGCTGTTGGTTAAAAAGCTGGTGGTTTCCAATCTTTGAAAATGTACTCAAACCTTTTTCCAATAAAAAAGATCATTCCCATTTTCTCAATTAAAGGTGTCTGAAGAAGGAACATGTTTTTTGAAAGAAGATTTTTTTTTCTTTTCTTGTCTTTTTTGAGACAGGGTCCCGCTTTGTCACCCAGGCTGGAGTGCAGTGGCGTGATCTCGGCTCACTGCAATCTCCGCCTTCTGGGTTCAAACGA